AAGGTTGTGGACAGCTTAAAATAAAAGGTTGTGGACAGCTTAAAATAAACTCTATAAATCAATTCAAGAGTGAAGAAAGTTAAATATTAAATTCAAATTACATCTCCTAAAAGGAGGGGATGGCCGATCAAGGAATGACTTTTAAGAGAATTAAGACAACTAAAAAAAAAACACTTCACAAAATCTCCCTGATTTCTAGCCACTTAAATCAATGAAAGATAATTCTAGAGGATATTCTCTAAGATATTTCCCTTTAATTATCAAATAAATGTGATGAACATTTAGATAAGGAATTGTCTTATAAAAAAACATATCTAGAATAGATATAAATTATCTTATATTTATTATTTTAGGCTATATTTGAATTTTTATATAAAATTATCATTTCTTTCTTAGGATAATGGATGATTATTCATACATCACCAAAAGACGGCTTAATCGGACATGAATTACAAGGCATATCTCAATTGAAAACTTTCACAATTAAATTTGGTACCACCCAAACTCCGATTTCGACAAACATATAGTCAAATTGAACATCTCGACAAGACAAACCGAACGACACAAAAATCGGTCCAATATAATCCCAAATCAAGGGACAAAAGCATATTTGGAAGCTTCAAAGTATTAATTGAATGACCAAATGATCTTCAAATATGATATGCTTATAAACAAATTGAGCAGTTCGACGAGATGAATTCAACGAGCCCAAGAACGAACAATTTTTAAATCATTAACCCACTTAATGCTGAACAATCACTCGATGATCAAGAGAATCAATATGAACTGTCCGATGGAGCACTCCAAATTTGCTCCAGATCTTTTCCATATTTATGGGACATGCTACTTACAAAATCTATAAATAGACGTTCACTCTCTACATGAGGGGTGCCTTTTGAAGGAGGCTTGGATCTTGAGCTAGAGGTCAAAGCTTGAAGAATCTCGGAGCTCCACCAAGGTAGCACCGCCGGTGAACCCTTGCTGCTTGGCCATCGCCATCGGACTTTCACCGGCCGATCATTGTCAGACATCCACCTAGCTGCCGCTGCCAGACCTCAAGTCTCCCGGCTGGCATCGGACCTTCAATTGACCACTTTCCTTGGATTACAATCGTTCAACTACGATCCTCAAAGCAACGTTGCCCAACTACAATCCTTCCAACCTCCGTTGCCCGACGACTACAATCCTTGGATCTGTGTTGTTCGATTATGACTTTTTCGACCTTCGTTGCCCACCAACTATAGTCCATTAAACCACCGTCGTCCGACTATGATCATTCGACCTCAGTCGCCTAACTAAGATCATTCCAACCTCCGTCGCCCATCAACTACGATCCTTAGACCACCTCACCCAACTATGTTCCTCAGACCAACGTCATCCAACTACGATCCTTCCGACCTCCATCGCCCGTGAACTATGATCCTCAGATCACTGTCTTCTGAATACAGTCTTTTCGACCTTGTTAGCCCGCCAACTATGATCCTCAAATCTTCGTCACACGACTACGGTTCTTTTGACCACCATCGCTCAACTAAATTCCTTCGACCTCCGTCATCCGCCGACTACAATCCTTAGACCACTGTCGTTAACTACAGTCCTCAGACCACCATCACCTAACTACAATCCTTTCAATCTCAGTCGCCTAACCACGGTCCCTTTGGCATCTGTCTTCCATCAACTATAATCCTCAGACCATCGTCGCCTGATTACAGTCCCTCTGACCATTGTAGCTCAACTACAGTCCTTCTGATTATAGTCCTCGGACCACCGTCACTCAACAACGATCCCTCTGACCTTCGTTGCCCGACTACAATCCCTCCAACCTTAATCTCTCTACTACGATCCCTCCGACCAATGTCGCCCCCAACTATGGCCCCATCAACCAAACAAACAAGCCTAGTATCTCTTAAGAATAGCTTTTATTCCCGTCAATTTTTTTCAACTCCAACCATATAACATTCTCTACACAATGTATATTTGCTATATTATGTTAATGCCTTCCTCCACGGATGGGCATCGTTTGTAATCAATGAAAAACACTAGTGAAATTATTTCAACTAGGCTATGTCCCGTGGTTTTTTCCCATTTTCAAGATTTTACATGTAAAAATTTTAGTATCTCTGATGATTCTTACACCCCTCTTTTATCTATGCGTGTGTTGAATCTTTGTACAAAATTAAGATGTTAAACTTTCTATTTCTCTACTATAGCGAATGTTATGACACGTAACAACTATAAATATAGATTTTAAGTTTTAGGATCAATGGAAATCAAATGGAAACCAAGTAGAACACATTTCCATTCAATTGGCATAATTATTTCTTCATATTCTTATTCCTCTTTCTATCTCCTTTAGTACTTGTCAGCCCTAGCCTTAGTCATGGCAGAGGTGCTAAACTCCTCAATCTCTCTTGTTTCATTTCTAGGATCAATGCAATTAGGATATCAACAATTATGTCGCTACAACGGCCGCATGAGATCATCAAAGGAGGAACCAAGACAATGCAATGGTTATTGTTTTTGTTCTCTATTTGGTGTCTAAGATTGAAACCATTTACTATTAAAGGCTAAAAATCCAAAACTACCAAAGGTAAAGAACAAGCCAAGAAGGAGAAATCACGGGAAAAATCAACAATTTTCTAATTCCTTATAAAGAGCTAATATTTTTGTTTTATCATGAAGATTCTTGCATTTGATATCATAGGAAACCCTAGTGGTGTAGAAACCAAAAGGAAGAATCTGAACAGGTAAGGAGAAAAGCAAGCCAAACAATGGAATAGTAACCTTTAGGTAAAAAGTATATTCATCATCCCTCATCCCAGCATACAAGCTGGTATATCATGGAACCAACTATACTATAATAAAATAAAAAGATACTAAAGCTATAGTAGAGAACGTGAGGTATCAGAAAGAAGTAAAGGCAAAACACAGAGCCTAGTGGAATAGTGGAAGGTAAATAGCGAACTGGTAGCTTGGCTGTGGGACCGGTGGATGGACTACGTCAGGTCTCCCCGCTTCAGAGGAGCTCGTCTCGGATCCAGTAAGCAAGTTGGTGACGTTGTTGAGCGGGTGGTAAGCATAAATATCGGAGACGTTGAAGGTGTGGGATGTTTGAACATCAGTAGGAAGCTCGACAATATAAGCATTGTCGTTGATGCGTCTTGCGATCGGGAAGGGTCCTAACTTCTCAGGACTTAGCTTGGAGTAGGAGCCAGGCGGGAACCTCTCCTTGTGCATGAGAATCATGACAAGATCTCCGGGTTGGAACACCTTATGTCGGCGCCGAACGTCTGCTTCAAGTTTATACTGAGCATTTGATTCTTCTAATGTGTTTTTGACTTCAGTGAGGATATCTAAAAATTGAGAAGCAGCTTGGGCAGCAGCTGTGCTGCAGAATTTTGGTAGGACTGCAAGATCCAAAAGATGATTAGGCATCTTAGTATATATAATGCTGAACGGGCACTTATCGGTGGAGCGGTTGGGCATCGAATTAAAGGCGAATTCAGCTTGGCTTAGTGATTTCGCCCACTGTTTAGGGTGCTTTTGAACAAGACAACGCAACATTCTCCCCAAAGTGCGATTGATGACTTCAGTTTGGCCGTCGGTTTGTGGATGATAAGCAGAGCTGAGCTTTAGATCAGTTTAGAATCTCTTCCAAAGTTCACGACAAAAGTGACTGATGAATTTAACATCCCAGTCGAAGGTAATGCTGCGAGGTAAGCCATGGAGGCACACAATTTCTTTGAAAAAGAGACGGGAAACATTGAGTGCGTCAAACATTTTTTTACAGGGAATAAAATGCAACATTTTTTAAAATCTATCCACTAGTACCATTATAGAATCCCAACCTTGTTTAGTCCGTGGAAGGCCAAGGACGAAATCAATATTGAGTTCCTCCCATATGGAATCAGGAATAGGTAGCGGCATATATAATCCCGCTGGCTGAGCATTACTCTTATACATTTGGCACACGGCGCAGTGTTCAACAAAGCGAGCAACATTTCGTCTCATATGAGGCCAAAAGAAACGAGATTGCAGCTGTAAAAAAGTTTTATCTCTACCTGTATGAACCGCCAAACCTCTGGAGTGCAGCTCTTTAATCAAAAATTGGCGGCATGAGGAGTATGGAATGCACAAACAATTACCCTTAAATAAGAAACCGTGTCTTAAGGAGTAGTCTAGAACAGGACAACCTTCAGAGCAATTTTCCCACGGTTTAGCAAAGTCCATATATGTTTTATATAAAGGTATCATTTCCGACTACGAAGGGTTTATCGAAGTTTGGCAAGGCTAGAATTGGAGCCGAGCATATGGCTAATTTGACGGTGTCAAAGTTGCCTTGTTGACTTGGTGACCATTGAAATGTGGCTAATTTCAAGCAGTCAGTAATAGGCACCATCATGACGCTGAAACCTCGGATGAACTTACGGTAGAAGTTGGCTTGGCCATGAAAACTTCGAACCTCAAAAAAGGGACGTTGGGATGGGCCAATCAATGATGGCCGAAACTTTTCTCGGAGCCATTTGAACCCCTTCTTTGGAGATGATGAAGCCCAAGAAGGCCACCTTGTTGACAACAACTTCACACTTAGAAAAATTGAGATATAATTTATGGAGGCGGAGGGTTTGGAATATTTGAGTTAGATGATGAACATGGGCTTCAAGAAAGGGGTTCAACACTAGAATATCATCAAAGTAAGAAACACAAAACTTGCCCAAATAAGGTTTGAGAACTTTGTTCATTAGCCTCAAGAACGTGGCGGGTGCATTACAAAAGCCGAAAGGCATTACTTTCCATTCACAGAGCCATTCTCTGGTTTTGAAAGCCGTCTTCCATTCGTCTCCAGGTATAATATGAATCTGGTGATACCCGCTTCGCATATCAAGTTTAGAAAATACTACAACCCCTTCCAATTTATCCAATAAATCAGATATCCTAGGAACAGGAAAGCGGTACTTGATATTTATTTTGTTGATGGCCCTGCTGTCAATGCACATTCGTCATTTTCCATCTTTCTTGGGTATAAATAAAGCTGGCACCGCACACGGGCTAAGACTGTGTTGTATGAGCTGTTTTTGGAGCAGCTCGTCGACAATGTCCTGCAAAATAGTATGCTCATGGGGGCTCATTTTGTAGTGGGGTAAATGAGGAATGGTTGCACCCGGAGTGAAGTCTATTTGATGTTGAACTGACCGCAGATGTGGCAATTGGCAAGGGAGATCAGGTGGTGCAATATCAGCAAATTCCAGCAATAAGTCTTGCACAATTTTTTGGAGATTCGGTTGAGCAGCAACTTCGCTCAAGTCGGAGGCAACTAGAGCATAGACAATAGGATTTTGTCCACATGACTGTAATAAGGCCTTATTAGAGATTATGTATACTGCTTGTTTGCCCTTGTCAGTCTTCACTACAGCTTGTGGGGAGTGAGGCAGCAACCACAACTTGCGTCCCTTCCATTCTAGGGAATACGTATTCGTCCTACCATCATGAGTGATGCCCGCATCAAATTGCCAAGGTCGACCCAAAATAAGATGACATGCATCCATGTCGACAAAATCGCAACTCACTTCGCATATGTAATTTTTGCCAATGGAGAAGGTTACTCTGCACATGTCCGCCACCATGATCTCAACACCACGTTTTACCCAACTAATCTTATACGGGCTAGGATTTTTCATTGTCTGCAGTTGTAAGGCTTGGACGGCTGAGCGTGAAGTTATATTTTCAGTGCAACCACTGTCAATAAGAAGTTCACAAATCTTCCCGTTAATGGTGCAATGAGTCCTAAACAGGGAATACCTTTGGGACATAACAGGTTGCCGTGGGGCTAAGAGAAGTCTTTCTAGTATGCAGATAATTGGTTCCCCTTCATCTCCTTGTACCTCTTCGACTTCCAAGTCAGCAAAAGTATTTAATTTAGACTCCTCATCAAGATCATCTCCATCCAACAACTATAGCTGTTGTCGGCTAGGACACTCATTAGACTTGTGACCGAGATGAAAGCACCTGAAGCATTTCAAACTGGTGGGTTTCATATAGGGATTGTCCTTGGGAGGAATTCTTGCTCGGTTCGATTGCTTAGTATCCGTGGAGCTTTGTCCAACTTGTTGTTGCAACGGAGGTGTTTTAGATGCCGACGGTGAAGGTTTTGTGTGTTCAACTGTTGCATCACTGTATTGCTGTCGAGGAACATAGCTGCGGGAATGTCGCTGCAGTTGAGATTCCGCCTTCAAAGCAAAATTTATTGCCTGGGACAAGGACCAAATGGAATTCAGCTCGAGCTTGTCCTGTATAACATCCTTAAGGCCCTCAATAAATCTGGCAACAAGCTGATTTTCCAATTCATTCAAATTGTTCGGTGAAACTCCTCTGTGTAGTCGCTCACGGTCCGATTGTTTTGGGAACAATGTTGATACTTTTGATACAAAATATGCTCAAAATCAGTAGGCATAAAATGTGCACGGAGCAATTGCTTCATTCGAAGCCAACTGTGAACTTGTCCCTTGCCTTCCCGACGCCGTGACTGCAACAACTCATCCACCACGCGCTTGCGCCTCCTCTCAAATGACAGGCCACATATTTTACTTGTTTTTCCTCGGTGGAGAAGAGAACGAACTCTACAGTGAGGGTTTCGACTTGTCAAGTGATGCTAGCTTGAGCAGCCCACAAGGCGTTCGAGTTCTGATTGTCGTCAAGAACTCACCGTGAACTCCCTTCGGCCATGGTTGTGATACCAGAATGGTGTAGAAACCAAAAGGAAGAACCCGAACAGGTAAGGAGAAAAGCAAGCCAAACAATGGAATAGTAACATTTAGGTAAAAAGTATATTCATCATCCCTCATTCCAGCATACAAGCTGGTATATCATGGAACCAACTATACTATAATAAGATAAAAAGATACTAAAGCTATAGTAGAGAACGTGAGGTATCAGAAAGAAGAAAAGGCAAATCACAGAGCCTAGTGGAATAGTGGAAGGTAAATAGCGAACTGGTGGCTTGGCTGTGGGACCGGTGGATGGACTCCGTCACCTAGATCACTTCATGCCCCTTTTTAAAAGCCAAAGCAACATATAAATCCTACCGGTTCCACAACAATCTGCATCATCATGATTAAGTCAATTTGATATCATAACATGATTATATTGTGATGTCGTGTTAATTTCATATTATGGTTTGTATAAAGCGCATTTGTTTCTAATGTTATAATTCCATTCCCTGAATAATTTAAGTGAATATCAAGGATTGCCAAGAATAGAGTAGATGCTTGCTCAAATGACCTTGCTTATAGAAAAAATTCCAGTAGTTTCGCCTAAGGATGAAATCCCAAGCCATACAAAATCCTAGACTAATAGTTTTGAATTCTACTTTAAATTTCTATGGCTTTAATATCTTTAATGTTTTATTTCTTCTCATAAATCAAGGAAAATCTAAAAATGAACCCCAAGAAAATAGTACCTTTGGTCACTTGAACGTTCGCAAATTATAATTTAAGATCTACCTTCCAATAAAAGCGCCAAGACTAACCCTACTATTTAAGGCCTTCTCCAAGCAAATTCCAAACGCATGAATGGCGTCACTCGCGAACTCTAGCCGAACGTCAAAACTTCCGCTATTTGGTTGCAGGTGAACAGTGCGACGCCCAATGCTTTTAAAACCGGACCGGACCGGCCGGTTCAACCGGTTGAACCGCGAACCGGCCGGCCGGCCGGTTACGGTTCTAGTTAAAACCGGTTTCGCACAAAACCGGTATTGAACCGGTCGAACCGGTGGTTCGACCGGCCAACCGTCGAACCGGTCCCGGTTTTTAATAACCGGCCAGTCGTATAATTCATTCGGTTTTTAATATCTGCACCATGAGGTGAACACCGGCAAACCGGGCGGCCTCTTTGGAGGTGAACATCATGAGGTGAACGCTTGCTGTGTTAAGTTGTTGTGTTGTTGTTTGGAGGGGTTGAGGCGAACGGGCGCCGGCGGCAGGGGTGGGCAGCCGCTTTGGAAGGGGTGCGTGCGTAGACAGCGAGGGAGTAGCCGGCGACGAGGATACGACAAATAGTGAGGGAGTAGCTGGCGGAGGATGAAAGCTGAGAAGCTGAGAAGATGTCGGAGAAGGCTGAGAAGATGTCGGAGAAGGCTGAGAATGACGAAAGCTGAGACAGCGAGGGAGTAGCTGGCGGAGGATGAAAGCTGAGAAGATGTCGGAGAAGGCTGAGAAGATGTCGGAGAAAGCTTAAGGCTTTGTTGCTGGGAGGAAAAAGACAAATAGTGGCGTGGAGTGGTGGACAGAACTCCACATCTACCTTTTCAATTTTTTTTTTTAATTTTTTTTATCTTATATGAGAATAGTCAAAACACTATCTCAAATGAAGACAAAATATTACCAATTATATACTTATAAATTTTAGATCCTCTCATAGAATTAAATATATAATTATTTTTTAAATATAATAAATATTTATTACGTCATCCGGTTCGACACCGATTCGACCCCGGTCGAACCATTGAACCGCTAACCTCTTCTTTTTCCGGTTCATTGTCCGGTCCGATTTTCAAAGCCTTGATAAAAATGATAGATATAAGACATATAATAAATTGAAGTTAAACTTTGACATGAAAAATACAAGATATGTGCTAATGAATTATCAGTAAACATATCATATATTTTGTGTGTATAAAAGTCAAGACAATTAGTCATAATCGATGATCGTGTTCATTTATTAAATGAATATATTAATGAAGCTTGATTGCCAAACACTTTCTACTTTGTTTGACTCCTTATTTAGCTGAGTTTTAGCTAGTTGATGTTCTTAGATTCTTCCATTCTCAACATTTAATTTGGAGGATCTATAGGTTAAAGGATCGAGTTGAATTTTGTTAACATCAGCCTAATATCATTGATCCTATTAGGATATGGAGCTATGAAAATGAAGTTTAATATATCATTTGTAAGGAGATATTCCACTTGTGTAAACACAATTATTCCCCTGATCTCTAAGTCCTTGATCATATAGTATCTTGAGATCATAATATATTCTCATTATAATTCAACCAATTTAGCATGTATATTTGTAATCTTCAGAAAATCATTCAAATTGGGTTCATAGGTCAAAAGTTCGACCATTGTAACTTTAATCCTAAACTATTGAATTTGCTTAAAGATGTATTATCTTTTTTTTTGTAGCAATCTTCTTAGTTAATTAATCTTTATTGTTGTGTCCTATTTGCGGCAATAGAGAAATATAAAATTTCACATCTTAGCTTTGTATGGAGATCCAACACACAATCAGATAAAAGAAAGGGTGTAGTGTTCATAGAGACACCAGAGTTTACATGGAAATCTCTAAAAGGGGGAAAACCACTAGACTTAGCCCAATTTGAATGAATTCACTAGTATTTCCAGTTGATTACAAATAAGGCTCTTCCTGAGGGGGAAGGCCTTGATTTGATGTAGCAAATAAACATAATATAGAATGCATTACATGGTGGGAATTAGAAGAATAAGTATTGACATGTTTGTTTGGTTGGCAGGACCATAGTTGGTGGGTGACGAAGGTTGGAAAGATCGTAGTTGGATGACGATGGTCAAAAGGATCCTAGTCGGCTAGTGATGGAGGTCGGAAAGACCATTGTCTTGTGACAGAGGTCAGAATGACAATAGTCTGGTGACGGAGGTCGAAAGGACCACGGTCTGCGGGAAGTAGTGATAAGAAAGACCGTTATATGGTGATGGAGGTCGAAAGGATCGCAATCTAGCATTGAATGTCAGAAGGACTATCATTGACAGAAAGACCATTGTTTAGTGACGGAGGTTGGAAAGACCGTAGTCTGGCAATGGAGGTCGCAAGAACTATAATCTGGTGATGGAGGTCGAAAGGACCATAGTCGGATGCTAAGTGGAAGTTCGACATCAGTTGGTGGACGGGCAGAAGTCCAACGTCAGTTGATGGCCGGTTATCAGTCTGGTGTTAGTCGGTGGTCGAGCAGAAGTCTGACGTTAGTTGGCAGCCAAATGTAATTCCAACAATAATTAGAAGTCATGTGGAAGTCCAACATCAATTGGTGGCCAAAAAGAAGTCTGGCGTTAGTCGGTGTCTGATCCGAAAATAGCCCGGCTATAATCGGTGGTTCTACGGTGGTCGAGGAAGAGTCTGATGGCATGATAGGTCTAATTTCTCTCTTTTCCTTGTCTTCCTTTTCTTCCTTGCTTTTCCCTCCCCTTCAATGAAGAATGAGAAGTCTATTTATAATTTTCTGATAGTGGCATAGCTAGTAAATAGAAGGGAGATCAATGGTAAGTTGAGAGTGATTTTAATGGATAGACGATGTTGATCCCCTTGATCGTAGACCATTTATTGGACATTTGAATGCTTTAGGTGATGTCAAAATTTGACAATCCTGGGCTCGTTGGATTTTTCTCATCGAGTCGCTCAATTCAATTATAAGCATGTCACGCTTGAAAACCATTTGGTAATCCAAATTATGGTTTGAACCGTCTAAATATGCTTTGTGTCTTCGATTTGGACCCATTTGGGCTCAGACTGAGTCGAATTTGGTGTCGTTTCGTTTTTTTTTTTTTTTTTTTTTTTTTTTTTTTTTTATTTTTTTTTTTTTTTTATTTTTTTTTTAATTTTGGTTTTTTTTTTTTTTTTTTTTTTTTTTTTTTTTTTTTTGAGACATTCAGTTTGATCATAAATTTTGTTGAAATTGGAGTTCATATCATCCTGAAATTAATTTCAGAAGCTTTCAACTCAAATTTGCCTCGAGTTTCGTGCCCATCAAGATAATTTTGTGATGATATATCATTTATAATTCTATAGAAGCCCAATTTCCCAAATTCCTATTACAAGCTCATTAAATTTGTCCAAATTTGAGACCTTCTAGTTCTAACCTATGCTAGCCCCAAACTCTAATAATATTGGATAACCAAGCCCAACCATCCCCTAACTTCACACTTGATTTCCTTCACCTTATGTTATATTCAAAGCGTTCAACTAGTTGTCTGAGTGTTTCTCTTAGTCAAACAACATTAAATATAAATATTACTTTCTTATATCTTCTTGATTATTTTATCTTCTTTCCATTCTTCCATTGTCCTATTGGTATTGATATTGTATATATCTGATGCGGACTAGAATATACGCGGCGGTAGAGTAAAAGTATAGCGTCTTAACAATATACGTATATCCAGCACACAAACAGATAATTAAGTTAGAGAAACACCAGAAACTTTTTTACGTGGAAAACCCGAAAAGGGAAAAACCACGGGGCCTGGCCCAGATAAGAAATTTCCACTATATCTGGATTGGTTACAACGTTTGATTCGCTCCTTCACTTGGAGATGCTAGAATTACAGTTTAAAATTAACTCGAAGATTGGATCATAATAAATATTTGAATAATTTAATTATTTTTAATTTGTTGATAGTAAGTTTTGACTATCAACTATAAAATTTTGAATTTTAAATTTATATATGTGATGTGTATATAAATTTGATGCAATAGACTCAAAAGTATATTAAAAAAATCATTTAACTCGTTAAGAAAATAAAAATCAATGTTGAGTCATCTTCCGGCCAAAATCCCAGCTTTATACTTGAGCAGCCCACAAATGACCAAAACCAAAGAATTGTAATTAGCAAGATTATCCAGGTCCTATCCCTTTGGCTTTGAGCTCCTCTACTGTGAGCAGTAGCAACGTACGGGAGAGGAAAGATGCATTCTTTGGGGCTTAAGCTAGTGTCTTTGAAGCCGGCAACGTTCTCCAAAGCGTGGCCAAACCATAGTGAAAGGACGAGACGTTGTCATGTGATCCTGTCTTCCTCCAATTCTTCTTCGTCGTCCTTCTCCTCTTCTTTTTCGTCTTCGTCTTCCTCTTCCTCTTCCTCATCTTCTTCATCCGATAAAGGTGGTACGGAGAACGAGAAGATCCTTTCTTCTACGACCACATCTTTTCTTTCGAAGAGCCAGAATTACGCCCTTCTCAAGAAGCAGATGGCCGTGGCGGTCAATTCCGAGGTAGTTCTTCTCGTTACACCTTTTACTGATGTCAAATTAGTTTGGGAGTTCTTCTGCCCTCATTGAACAGAAAGCCTATTTTCTTAGCTTTTCAGCCTACATGCTCTGATTTCTGTTCTTTTCTGTATAATTTAATTCACTCTGTAGCTCTCATTCATGATAACTATCTCTACCATGGATTTTGTTGATGTGCGTCAAAACATACTTTTGTGGTGAAACAAATCTGTCATAAGTTATTCTTTTGAAGGTGAGTGAACCTTTCTTTATAGTAAATCTAGCTGAACTGATATTTTAGTTATGGTGTAAACCATACTTCCGGTATCTACAAATTGGTCAAATAGATATATTGCCAGCAGTTAGAGTATATTTGCTCAATTTTTATACTGGATGTGGACATGCAGTGCATTAATGAGAAAAATTAGTTTTCTTGCTCTCAATGTATCAGTTTTACTGGAATGTTTGATACTTGGAGTTATAAGTGGTTTCTACTCTGCCAATATGTTTGTTTCTCACTTATGAGTTAGAGAAATTATTATGTGCGGACACCGAACGCCGTCGGAAGAACAACCAGAATGCTACACGTCACCCCCTGCTCGGTACCTGACTCGGTACTGCTCGGTACAACGGCTCGGTACCCGGCTCGGTGCCACTGACGTGGCGCATTCTTGTTGATCTCCGGATGGTAAACTGCGTTCGGCGTCTACACAAAATAATCTCTCTGTGTTAAGGTTCCATCTCAAGATTAAATGACTACAATGATTACTTAAATCTATTGTTTTTATGCTGACTTGAGCTAGTCTTACTTAGCTATAGGGCAGTTTGATCTGATCTTTATTAGGGGTAGTTTTGGCTTGTTAAATTGAATTCCAGCTAAAAAACTTACTTTAAATTGAACCCATGGCTAAACCATCCCGCACAACAGCCAAGTTAAAGAAAAAAAAAATTAGAGAATACATCTTGCTCTCATAGGGATCATCATAGACATGTTTTGACAAATTTAAAACACAAACTACTAAATAGAGAGTTGCAAGATAAAATAATTAAAATGAAAAAAAAAATCATTTAGTTTTGTAATTTGCTTGTTATAGCGCACAAGAATTGTGCTTTCGGTGAACATAAACCATCAGATTTCTATTGAGGAGGCTATTTTTCAATTTTATCTGAATTATATGCTGGATATGCATTTTAAATTGCTGCTATCTTTTTGACATCATAACTTTGCAAAAGAGGGAATTAGGTTACATCTATCAACTTCATCTATGGTGAACCTCACTTGCAGGTGTAAGCCTATACCTGTATATAATCTAACTTAGTTGTGGCTTTGTCTACTCCTAGGCCAAGAACCATGTGATTGCTTATCAGATGGTTCTTAGCATCTGAGCTTTAGCTTTAAGATTATTATTTAACCTCGTTATGTATTTTTCCATTTTCTTTACATATGTGTTTTTTTCGATTTATTCTTATATTTTGGCCAGTCTTCTATTATTCTCATAAAAGAATGGATGGTGAGCATGCATGACCATTTTTCATTTTGCTGCAAGTAATGTAGGATGCATAAGTAGTTTATTGTAAGTCCTGGATTGATAGTTATAGCATTTTTTATCTCATATATTCCCATATATATGGAAATCATTGTATTAAACATGGTTAAGAAGCATCTTAGGAAAAATATTTCTTATCTTGCTGACCTGTTTTCAGTTTGAGTTAGGATTACATAAAAATGTGTGTCCTTCTTTGATTTGGTTCCAGTTTGTTGATTAAAATTATGTTTTGAAGTTTTTGTTATAGCTGTATTGTTGATGAGTTTGCTTTTATTTTCTGGAAATTTAACCATTTATTTGTTCTTAGGTCTAAAAAACAATTTATCAACTAATAATACCTTCTCTATCATTTTTTTGGATATAGTCTTGGCTAATCTTATTGGTCCCTGTTGTTAGAAAGGAATATTTTAAACTAATTGGCATCTTTCTCCCATTATAATCTTATTTCAATGATTTGGTTTTGTTAGAATTATAAAGAAGCTGCAAGAATAAGGGATTCCTTAAAATCTTTTGAGGAGGAAGAACCAGTATTGCGCCTTCAAGGATTGTTAAAGAAGGCTATTCTAGAAGAACGGTTTGAGGTACTTAATTTTTTTGTACCTAGTTCTCTTATTTCTATTGTCAATACTGAATTATGAAGCTATGATGATCCAATTGAGAACGTTTTAGCACCCCATAATTAAAATGCATATGATTTGAATATTTCAACTTCTACTATATTTTTATATTGAAAGTGCAATAAGCAACACCTAAAATAAATTTTGTTAAACTCAAAGAGCACTTGCATTACAAACTCTTCTAGAAGCTTGAGCAGATTGTAAATATACAAGTCCCTTAGAAAAAATCATGAAGCACCGTGCCCATGCATGTTGTAAAGAGGCATCAGGCGCTTATGTGTCCATACACAGTGGGTAGGGGCAATCAAGCATGTAAAGTCATCCTCATACATGGCATTTGTGACAAGGGAGATGTTGGTTCAGTGTGCACCACAATGTATAACTAAGCACCTCTTAAATTCATCTCTACTAAAAGCTCCAGATGATGTGAAATGTGTAGCCAAAGCTTTATAGGTTGCGCATAGAGACAACAATCAAGACATTAGAATTTAATTGGGACATCCCCATTCTCTGCCATGGTAGATGTGTTAAGGATACTTATGTAACAACTCAAACTCTTAACTATCGAAATATTGCTGCTTTGACCTAAGAGCCTTATGGTTTTGTCCTGTTGGTGAAACTTCCCAGGAGATCACTCATCCTAGGATTTCTTCGGGATGAGCATGCTTAACTGTGGAGTTTCTTAAATGAAATTTTAACCATTACACCAAAGGCGCCTCAATGTTTAAGAGTTTAGTTTCTTTTACTTAAGGGGTATCACAATCTCCCCCACTTAAGTAACTGACGTTCTTGTCAGTATCCTTATCCCAGAATCATCCACCAGACATATAGGATTCTAGAGGTGGCCCCTATAAGTTCAAGTGTTGACTCCTGTCACGTAGCACTTTGTCTCATACAGGGTTTAAGAGGAGACTCCCACGACGTAATATTTTGTCTTGTATGACACTTATTTACCATCTTCTGGCTGGTGTATTGCTCTGATACCAATTGTAACAACTCAAACTCGTAACTATCTAGATATTATCCGCTTTGGCCTAAAAGCCTCACGGTTTTATCCTGTTTGTGTAACTTCTCAGGAGGTTACCTATTTCAGGATTTCTCCGGGATAAGCACGCTTAACTGCGGAGTTTCTTAAATGAAATTCTAATTATTACACCAAAAGACGTCTCATTGTTTAAGAGTTTAACCTTTTTTATTTAAGGGGTTTCACAACTTATAGGTATATGTCCAATAAATCTACCTCCCTATAATTACAATGGAGATTTGAACTTGTGACCTGCTTTGATATCATTTGTTTCCATGAGAGCGCGCGTAATGGGAGGAGAGTGTGAATTGAATGGTAACATTTTCAATTAAATTTGTAGAAACTAGAGTGAAAAATAAAGTTAATTTATATTTGAGAGTTGTGTGTAGTAAATACAAAAAACCTAAGTTTAAGAGAGTTAAAACTTAACATAATAAATTCAAATTACAAAGAAAGCAAGGATTTATAGTGATTTAACTTCTCGTTTAAGTCTTTGTCCACTCCCTGTGATCGCCCCTACCCCCCCCTGGTAATTTCACTAACCACATTCACAAATCATTAAGTTAAAAGCTACTACAATCTTCAACCTCTCTTTCAAGCTTCAACCTCTCTTTCAAGCTTAGGAAACTGTAGCCTGCTCTTAATGTCAACCCACACCTAACCTTTTTCCAGGCTCAAGTACTACCCTAAATCACGTTTTTATTGGCTTAAGGACAACCCGCATAAGAACATAAGCAACAAGAAGAAGCTAGAACTCTAGAAAAAGACATAAAGATGAAAAAGGGCTTACAATGTGGAGCACTAATACATAACAAAATTTTCAAGTCTATCTAGTAAGATATCTGTGAATGTGCACTGTAAATCTTCAATATCTAATCATGCAACTAGAAATTAAGATGATAAATTCAAAGAGAAACCATGCTTCAAAGATCAAAGACAACTTTCACAATATTCCACAAGGAGGCTTTATGAGAGAAAGCTTGGAGTCTATCATTTGGCAATGGTTTCTTAGGCTCCTTCAGTAAATAGATGAATTTATTGACTTAAGGCAGCTCATATCGATCCAAATTCTGAGCGGAGGAGTGGTTGAGATGACTTTGAGTTTAATATTTTTTTATAATATAATAAGCATGTGCACTCCAATCTATCAAAACATTTAGTAACTAAGACAAATTACAAAATTTTCTTTTGGAAGGTTCTAAGCCATTAAGACAGAAAAGTATGTGATATTTTGTTTAAAATATGGCTAAGTGATTAGGTGGTCAACCATCCTAAAGAGAAATTTTTTGCTGCCAATCAATTGCAGGCCAATTTGAGTAGGCAAATAGGTTGGGTTGATTGATTTGGTGCTAATTTGCAAGACAAAATCATCTGATATACTTGACCCGAGTGAATTGGCTAATTTTAGCCCAAATTTGCCAGTTTCGTTGGTCAATGACCTGTCATGTTGGTTTGGACTAAAAAGTATTTTTCTTGTACCAAATTTGGTCCAAACTCCAAACCAATTTCTAAACATTTTTAAGGGATACAAAATAATTTTATGCATCCCTATAACCTATATGAAATGGCCTAAGCATGATAAGCTTGGCAAATTAGTTGTGCTCATCTTTTAGCCTACAGAAGGAATATAAACAATTGAGATGCACTTTAAGCATCAATCTTGAACTTTATCATCATTTGGGCATCTCTTCAAGTGAATCTAGCTAATAAACTTGACGACACATGGTTAGCCCACCTACATAAGAATTATTTGTCATGATCAAAATTAATATGGGGTAAGCATAAGGTTAGCAAATTTTGTCATGTGAAGTGGGACCAAAAAGATGGCTACAATTTGGTATTTATCTTTTCTAACAATTGATCATATTTACACCTGGAAATGTCGGTGGCCGCCAACAACTAGTGCTACATGGAAAAGTTAAGTTTCATGAAACTTGTAATTAACACTTTTATACTTTAAGGAATATCTGAACATTTCTGCGTTTTATTATTACAAGTTCCTTTTTAAGCTATTGTCTTTCCTTTTCCTGAAGTAGAAGCTTGAAATGTTTACTTGTAAAACTTTTGTTCATCTTGGCCGGTAAAATTTTCAGGATGCTGCCAGATATCGAAATGAATTGAACATTTTGGCCCCACACGCCTTGTTGAAATGTTCAAGTGATGCTACTACGGTGGTATGTACTTTTTTATTTACATACATTACTTGGATAAATACATACACAGTAATGAATAGAAAAAAAATATATCAATTGGTTGAGAAGTCCTCTGGTCGTGTTTTCAAACTTGTTCTGGCATGAGATGACTGATCATGAAAGTCCCATTGATGCAAGGAGCAAATGTTATAGTAGATTGCTGGGCTACGAACTGTCTTTATAACTACTGCATAAAATATTTGTCTGCTACACTTGAATGGCTTGATTCCTATTTCATGTTTTCTAATAGTTGTATTGCATATTACTGTGTAGGTAAGAACTTTTTAAAAATAATTTCTTTATTTCATGAAATGAAAAAAATGCGAGTAGGAAGCTCTTAACTTATCTGATAGAAAGAATGTCACTTGTTTGTATGTTAATGGATTAATTAAATTTTAATTTTCAAGCTATACTGTATAGAAAGAAATGCCTGCTGTATTGAATTATTCTAGATTGTATTAAACAGGACCACCTATCACAACTAATAATTTTAAAAAATTTAACTAATATGGAATGCAAAACAAAGGTTTTATTGTAAAATATTGATTGCCCTTGTACTCATGGGCATGTTGAATCCAAATTGTCTGTGACTCAATTATCAACTATGTCAAATATAGATTGATGACTAGGTCATCTAATGTGGATTGTTGGAGACCCGACAATTGTTATTCTGTTCTCTTGACAGTCTATCAGTACACTATTCTTTAGCAAGAAATTGTTCTTACGAGGACTCTTTGATGGAATTTGATGTAGCGCTACATGTGGCATACAACCATTCTGGAAGCCTGAATTGATGGTGTGTATGCAAAGCAAGGCTTTATAATTAAAGTTTGAATGTCCCTAGAATCACGGTATGATAAATCAACATTACCATGATTCAATGGTTTCATTGTTGAATGTGGTTCTATGACTCAATTGTCCACTTCAAACTATGAAAAACATGATAGTTGCTATCCTGTTTTCTTGATAGTTGCTATAGTATAACATCTCATAACATAGTATGCAATGCTTTAGATATCATTCATCTTTATTGAAGAAGGAATAAACTTGATATAGAAACAATCACTTAGTGTTATTGTGTAAGCTCATAATGAGATGCCCATCCACCTGTTTCTTCATAATCTGTTGAGCACTCGTCAGATGCCTCTTTAATTCTTCCAAAACCCTTTCCCTCTCCTCCAAGTACTCTTCCACTAAAGAAACTAGGGTGCTAATATGCCCAAAATGTACCAGGTTTGGTGGATCACTTCCATACAACACTTTGAATGGGGTCATATGATAAGCAAAATGGTAAGTGTTTTATCAGTAATCTGCCCATGCCAACCATTTGGCCCACAACTTGGGTGTCTCTGACACAAAGTATTGTAGTTCGGTTTTCAAACTCCTATTGACCACCTCTTTCTAACCATCTGTCTGTGGGTGGTAGGCGATGCTTCTCTTCAGTGCTGTCCCCTGTAATCTGAACAACTCCCTCCAGAAATGGCTGAGGAATATCTTTTCCCTATCAGATACTATCGACTCCGGTATTCCGTGCAATCTAACCACCTCCCTGATGAAAGTTGATTCCATTGTTACTGCTGTGTATGGATGTCGTCGGGGAATGAAATTGGCATGCTTGTTCAATCTGTTTGCTACCACCATAATCACTGTGAACTCTTCTGATCGAGATAATCCATCTATAAAATCTATGGAAACCTCCTCCCATACCCAACCTGGTAGAGCTAAAGGTTGTTGTAATCCTCCTGGATACATGGTCATATACTTGTTCTTCTGATAGATCTCACATCTGGCTACCATCTCCTCCACATCCTTATGCACCCACTTCCAATACAGCTCTATTGCAAGCCTTTTGTACGTCTTTTGTACCCCTGAATGACCCCCCACAACTCTCCCATGAAATTCCTTGCAACAGACGTGGGATATGTATTGATGTTATAAGCATCACAAACCTGCCCTGGTAAAGAAGCCTCTCTCCCTCCAACTAATACCCTGGGCGGCTACTCTCTTCCTTCAACAAATCAGCCTGAATCTTTCCCAAATCCTCATCCCATGCACTCTCTGCCACAATGACTTCCCAATTCAACATCAATGGTATCCATACTACCACTCCCCCATACATCTGGATAAGGCATCTACTGTCTTATTTTTTACTCCTAACTTGTACCAGATCTCAAAATCACACCCCAGCAACTTGGACAACCATCTCTGGTGCTCCTCAGTCATCATCCTTTGTTCCAACAAGTACTTCAGGCTCCTCTGGTCTGTCTTGACGATGAAATGCCGATCCAACAAGTAGGGCCGTCACTTTTGGATGTCTATCATAATCGCCATCAACTCATCATAAACTGCATCCTGGCCCTGGCTGTCAAAACCTGGCTGAAGTAGATGATGGGTCGATGGTTCTACATGACTACTGCTCCCAAACCATATCTTGAGGCATCTGTCTGTACTATGAAGAACTGAGTAAAGTCTGGTAGGGCCAAGATCGGTACAATAGTCATAGCCTTCTTCAGGCTCTTAAAAGCTGTTGTGGCCACTTCCCCTCATAAAAAACCATCATTCTTCAGTTGCTCTGTTAGTGGCTATGCGATGGTGCTTTACCCTTTCATGAACCTCCTATATTATCCTGTTAGTTCTAATAATCCCCTCAACTCCTTGAGATTATTTGGTATTGGCCACCTCAACATGCTTCAATCTTGGCATGATTTGCTGCCACCCCCTCCTTAGAGATGAAATACTTCACACTAGTTTGGACAAAATAACATTTCTTCAGATTGGCCTTCAATTGGTGCTCATGTAACACTTCTAGAACCCTCCTTAAGTGCTCCCAGTGCTCCTCGTATGACTTGCTATAAACTAGGATATCATAAAAAATCTCCTGAGATGAGATCTGAAGACCTTGTTCATGAGGGAATGGAAAGTGGCTAGGTCATTAGTGATGCATATTTTAGAAATTCATAATGCCTCTCATGAGTTCTGAAAGTATTTTTGGGCACATCTTCCTTCTTTATCCTGATCTGATGGTATGCGGACTTCAAATCTATCTTGGTGAAGATAACTGCTCCACTCAACTCATCCAACAGCTAATGGATCAATGGGATGGAAAACTTGTCTGCACAGTTTCCATATTTACTACCCTGTACTCCACACAAAACCTATAACTCCAATTTTTCTTTTTAACCATCAATATTGGGCTAGAAAAGGGGCTAATAATGGGTTTGATAATCCCTACTTCTAGCATCTCTCTAATCAGCTTCTCAATCTTATCTTTCTAAAATTGTGGATAGTGGTAGGGCCTGACAATAAGGTGACACACCTTCCTTCAAAGTGATAGCATGCTTCTGTTCTCTTGGTGGTGGCAATCTCTGAGGTGGTTGAAAAACCTTATTGAATTGCTAGATCAATGGTTGTATTTAAAGAGGAACTTCTCGTCCTTCCTCTAATCTGATCCCCTCTTGCCTATGCAGTTCCACCAAGTACCCCTCCCCCACTTCTTGGATACTCCTCACCATAGTTTTAAGTGAAATCATGAATTTTGAGAGCCCCCATCTCCCCTTATCATTACTCTTCTCCCTTCTACCATCAGCTCCATCGTGAATGCCTTTCAATTGACCTTGGTGTCTCCGAAGGTCTGCTATTACTTCATCCCCAGGATGATATCGGTGCTCCCTAACTCTAATGGGAGAAAATCCTCCCTCACTTGTATCCCCTGTATAGTTAATGTCACTCCCCTATATATTCCCTAGCCCATCTCCACCTTTCTCATGCCCATCATCTCTCAATAACACCATGTATCCACCAATTTTATCCACAATTGGTTCACAACCTAGTTGGAAATGAAATTGTGGGTAGCTCCACTATCAATAAAGACCACCACCTCCCTATATGCTATTTCCTCTTTCACTTTCATCGTAGGGTGAATCCTACCATTGAGTTCAGGGATACCTCCACCACATCTAGATGTAACTTGTCCTCCATCTCTCCCTCTACCTCCCTTTAACCTCCTCATTTTTCTCATCATCACTGACAGTGAAAACCTAAAAAGTTCGGTCTCTACATCTATGTCCTGGAGTGTACTTCTCATCACACCTGAAACATAGTCCCTTTGCCATCTTCTTCTGCATCTCCTTCTCCGTCAATCTTTTGAAGTTTCCCCCACTTCCACCTCCTAATGGCTTCTCCCTGGGAGTCTCACGAAGACTACTGGTTGTCGTTCCCTTGGGTGCTAGAAGAGTGGTAGTCATCCTATAAGAGCCACCTGAACTGTTTCCCCTCGCTCCCCTCTCTTAGTACTTCTGATCTTCTACTAACTGCACCAGTTCCATTGCCTATCCCAAGTCATGAGGCCTCATGACCCTCAGCGCAGCTCTGATCTCATATTTGAGTCCCTTCATGAACACAGTCTCTGATAGTCGCTCCACCCGATTGGCCAAATGCTCAAATCTCTCATTGCAGTCTGCCACTAATCCATCATGTACCATGATAAAGAACTGCCATAAAAGTCCCCTCTCCTGTCGGTTCGGAAACGTTCCAATAAACATTTTTTGAATTCCCTCCAACTCCGCATGGGTCTCCTTTGATCCCTCCACTGATTCCAAGATAATGCATTCCCCTCCAAACATAACTCTGCCGCTGTCAACTTTTCCTCCTCCATCAGCCCATTGACGGTGAAATGCCTCTTCATCTTGTAGAACCACCCGTGTGCGTTCTCCCCTTCAAAGATTGACATCTTCAGCTTCCTCACCTTCAGATCTCCCCTGTGTCCCTGTATTCCTCCATTATTTCCCCTTTCCCCTATGCTTTGCTCTTCCCAAGTTTCTCGATCTTCCCTTACACGCTCATCTTCAAACTTCACCTTCTCCCCTCCTTTCTCCAAAATCAGCACCCCTCCTACTATAAGTTCCCTCTTTTCTCTCCCAACTAGCACCTCTTGGCTCATGCCCCCCATATCCATCCCTATCTCCATACCTTTCCCCTTTCTCCTCTGTGATCTCCACATTGTTTTCCCTCCTATGAAATTCAAAATTCGTAGTTCTTCCCACCGGTCCCTTTGTCTCCGATGTCGGCATTTGAATTTGATTTTTCAATGGCTTCTTCACCATCGCATGAAGATCGGAAACTTTGTCTTCCACGGGTGAAACCTTGTCTTCTACGGATGAAATCCGATGATCTTCCACCGTTGTTTTTATTTGGCTCATCTCCCCTTCAAGGCATTCCTCCAACACATCTACCTTCTTGGCCTCCATCAATACCCGGATTTTTGTAGGTTCAAAAAATTGGGTTATTGATCCAAAAAACAGCAAGAAACTGTTCCTCCGGCCAAAAAACAGCAGCTGAAATTTCAGAAAACACCCCATAAACGGTCCTTTCCCAAAATCTATTATGATATCAATTTGATATGAAATACTTGAATATTTCAAGTAAACCCTAACAAGATGGACGAAAATAGTTGGAAAACACCACAAATCTAATGGATAATAAACAAAAAAACAGTAGTTTTTATTGTATAAATCAAACTAACGGAAGAAATAAAGCAAGATATAATTGATCCTCAATTCAAGAGGAGGATCGTTCTCTCCCAATCCCTAGATGAATCTAGAGCCCAATACACCAAGAACAAGAACTTCGAAATCAGCCACAATACAAAACATAACCCTAACCATAATCCCTCTCACTATTTAAAGCATGCAATCACCTCCTTAGGTCTAATCCCCTCTCCCTATTTTTGGAGATTGTTAGTGCATGTGAGACTATTGGTTTTATATCTAGATTGGTTGAAAAAATATGTTGATATTGAAATACCCGATTGTTAGTTCTCACCCACTGGCTTTAGCTTTTGTGTTGAAAATGAGTTTGACCACTTGTGTATTCAATCTAACTTGCCCCCGCGTTGATTTCACGCTCTAAAAATATCTGTTGCTTAACCCAACTTTTGGGCATCGACTTAAGTAGAGGAATTCAGGAGGAAATCACAATTCCTTATAATAAGTGCTAATCATTTTGATGATGATGGTTTGAATACCATTATGATGTTCCATGTTAATACGGCTGCTACTTGAATAGAATTTGTCGGATTTTCCGCTGTAGAGATTTTGGTGAGAATAGTTTCGATAAGAAGTGAAATGGAGCACAATATTTGAAAATATAAACATTTATTTAAATGCAGTTACAAGCATAAAAAATAACTTAATGGTTATTAGACTTGTGAATCAAATATGACTAAGAGGACTAAAATCATAGTCCCATTTTGACATAACTAAAAAAATTTAGAAAAGAAACTCTATTATTACAGATGTATTTCAACATAAAGGTCTCAAAAGCTTCCAAGAAAGTTGAGAGAAAAAAAAGCCAGTGACTTGTAGCATATAGGACATTATTCTTGTCTTCCATAGGGAGTTTTACCCTTGTAAATATCTTTGGAAGCAAGGGGCCGTTTAACAGAGAAGGCTAGGGCTCAAGTCTACCTAAAAATCTCAAACTTGCAGTCGTTTACCTGCCATATCTCACACTAGTTTTATTGAAAGACTTTTTTTTTTTGAAATGTTGAGCATATTTTTTTCCTATATTCGGCGTGTGTTTATATATTACCATATGACTCATGTCTAACACATGTTAAACACTTTATATTCTTGTGTTATGGTGGGTTCATGGATAACCTAGCTCTCTAACAAACAAATCCTAAATGAAGCAGCTTATTATGAATGGCACATTAGTGATTCTTTTTAAGTATTAAGGCTTTGTTTGGGACAATTTTTTTATTGCTTTTTAAAGTAGCTTTCTAGTATAAAAATTAAAATTTTTTAACTAAAAAGCTTCTTTAAGAAGCAGTAAAAAAGCCGTCACAAACGAAACCTAAGTCTCCGTTCTCGATTTTTTAAATATGAGAAAACTGCCTGTTAGTAATTTATCTTTTGCACTCGAACTTTTTTTGATTTTTTGATTTGAATTATCCTTATTTTCTCGCTATGGTGGGAGGTTTATGAATTGGCTGTATCTCTTGCATCAATGAGCTTACTTGGTGGCATTTATTTGTTTAATTAATTATAACAATAACAACATCAAGTCTTTATCCCCCTATATGGGATCGGCTACATGAATCTTTTTTCTCCGTTGTCATGTTAGGAGTCAATGGAGAAAAAGGATTTATGTAGCCGACCCCACGTAGTGGGATAAAGGCTTGATGTTGTTGTTGTTGTCATGTTAGGAGTCAAATTTTTATTTAAATCTAATAAAAATATCATTTCTTATATTTTCTGACCAAGTCTTTTTAAGTCTACCTCTACCTTTATTAAAATAAGTCAAATCCAATACATCTACTTTATTTAGTCAATTAATTAAGGCATATGATTTTTCCTTGATTCTAAAAAAAAGCTATGAATGGTTACCAATAGTTAAAAAAAAAACAATAATATATTGCATTTAAGCATGCTTGAACTTTTCTTATGGTAAAAAACAGGGTATACGGGTGCAAGTCAGGAGTGTGTATATTGAGAGCAGGAGCCAGCCATCAAAAGGGCAGTACTTCTTTGCTTATCGAATCCGAATCACTAATAATTCAGAGCGTCCTGTACAGATCCTTAGACGGCATTGGATCATAACAGATGGCAACGAGAAAACTGAGAACCTCTGGTCTCTGTTCTATTTTCACTTGTGCTTCATAGCTTGCATTTCAGATTTTTTTTTTAATCGTAATTTGCCTAAAGCCTTTTCTCGTCTCTTCTGCACATGGCTTGTGTTACAATCAATTGAACTGGAGCTCCCTATTCTTTGGCAGGGGAGTTGGTGTGATAGGAGAACAACCTGTAATACTTCCAAATACTGGATTTGAGTATTCTTCTGCATGTCCATTGAGTACTCCTAATGGAAGAATGGTGAGCTCCTCTTTTTGAGTATTGGGGTGTTTGTTATCTAGTAAATAAAAGGTTATTAAGAGCATTAAGTATTCATTGTAGATATTCCAAAAACTGAACACTATATATTCCTTATTTCCCTTTAGGCATCATTTTTTAGGGGTGTCAATTCGGGCCAACGGGTAGGGTTCGGGTTGAACCCGACTTAACCCGGCTATATATGGGTTGACCCTAACACAACCCGGTTTTGCAAACGGGCCAGGTTTGTCAACCTGGACCCGACCCGTGCGGGTTATCGGGTTGACATGACCCGACCCGCGAACATCTGCGGAGCTGAGCGAATCGGAGGGCCAAAGGCTGTGCGCTTGCGCCTGTGGAGCGGAGTGAGTCCGCGAAGTCGTCTTCCGCTGAGTGACCGAGGACGATCATCCGAGGCTTCGCCGAGTGCGGAGCAGCGAGTGCGACAGCGGCAGCTGAAGCGCGGCTATGCGGGCTGGACGCGGGATGCTTGGACTGACAGGTGACGGCGGCCTGTGATGCGGACGGAGGACTCCACCTCATGTGGACGCGATGTCGCAACCTAATTGGCACTCGGGCAGTGCGGAAGCAACCTGACGCGCTGGATGATGAAACGGGTCAATTCGGGTTGACCCGCGGGTTGTCGGGTCAACTTGAACCCGACCCACTTTTCAAACGGGTCAAAAATCTGAACCCGGACCCGACCTGTTTCACAAACGGGCTGACCCAAACCCGGATTTTTGCAGGTCGGGTTTCGGGTCGTGTCAAAAGTTGACACCCCTAATTTGGTTGCTTTTAAAGCTAAAAATCCTTCTATAAAATTTAAGGATTTTATTTTCTATGCATAAATATATCAACTAGGAAATTGCATTTAAGTGATAACCCTTAAATCCTTATCTATTCCTTCGCTTGTATCGATCAAGGATTGTGAAGTCGAGAAAATGGAGTGACCAAAATGAGTGGGATATTGAGGTTTCTAAGGTCTCGACCGAGGTGATGACTTACGCAAGCAAAAAAATTGAGGAGAGAAATAATCATCGAACGCCATTCAGAAGAGAATTAGGATCGCCACGATACCATTTGTTGTGTACCAGGGTGACGTGGTGCATCCTGATTCGCTTTTAGACGGTCCGGTGATCGCATGCAATAATATTTCCATCAGAAGGCCAACATTTTATATAACCAAATCATCTAAGCCAACTCTCTCTAATTTTATCTGACAATGGTGCTACTCCAACCTTTTCACGTACATACTTTTTTTACATTCTATCTCTAAGAGTAAAGCCACTCATACCTCTTGAGCATCCTCTTCTCTGAACTTAATTTTATGCTTCTCTTTTAATGGCCAACATCATAAATTTTTGCAAGTCTCACCACCATCTTATAGAATTTTCCCTCAAGGGTGAGGGGTGATTTCTTTTATGAAAAAAAAAAAAAACCCGAAACATTCCTCAACTTCAACCATCTAACTTGAATTGTTCTACTAATAATATCTCCATCTATTTCAACATCACTTTGAACAATAGGCATGAGACATCTAAAATGTGTACTCTTTTTAATGACTTGATCGCCCAAAGTCACAATCTCCCTACTGGATCTATTACTATTAAAATTACACTTCATGTATTTGAAATTTTAGATTGTTGAACAAAAAATAAATAAATAAAATATAGAAAATGCGAAATGAAGCAACACACCTTTCGACGATCCAACCCCACCTCAAGAGATGCATGCGGAATGAGGCAATTTTTCACTTCAATAACTGTCGAGTGATTCAATCAATAAAAGAGCAGAAATCGGAGAAGGGGAAAAAAAAAACACTTAACACTCTGTTCTCTTTCAATCTTTGTTCAAAAATCTCTCCAAATCCTGTTCAACAACCGTGCTTCCGCCTCCTTTCGCCCGCGTGGGTGTCCCAATTCTTCCACACCCCACAGACAATTGGTCCGATCTAATTTTCGGAGCCCAGAGCTACTATTTTATCAAAGAGAATGCAAGTAAATAGCCTTGAAACTCTACCACGCTATTTCTTCGTCCGAATCATCAAGAATTGTGTAATTAAGCGATAGACTGTAAATAAAGAAAACGACCAAGGGAGGAGCGACGACTTAAGTAACAAAATAGACGAAAATAATTGAGCTCTAAAATTCTCTATGGTTGGCTCTTCATTCTTCCTATTTGCTTGGATATTGTCATATTGATCGAAAGAATGAGAAAGATTCATTGCTTTTATTATTTTGAAGATTTAGGTTTCGTTTGGGACGGATTTTTTATTGCTTTTTAAAACGGAGTTTTAGTACAAAATTTTTTAATTTTGTACTAAACTCAATTTTAGAAAGCAATAAAAAAGCCGTTAAGGCTTTGTTTGGGATGACTTTCCTACTGCTTCTAAAAGAAGTTAGTATAAAATATCACAAACTAAAAATTTTTGTATCAGAAAGCTGCTTTAAAAAGCAGTAAGAAAGTTTTCTCAAACTAAGTCTTAGTGAGAGGAATTCATTTTTTCTCATTATCTTTCTTTCAAGAAATGTGCTCTAAGGTTTTAGTGAGATCCTCTCTGTCCTTACTTTTTTGAAAATGGGATTTAGGCTTTGTTTGGGATGGCTTTCTTGTTGCTTCTTAAAACAGCTTTTTAATACAAAATTTTAAATTTTTGTACTCGAAAGCTGCTTTAAGAAGCAGTAAAAAAACCGTCCCAAATAAAACCTTAATCTATTTCCTTAATTTCTCAATTTGTAGCCTACATTTTATATAGTTGACGCATGCATGTAGATTATTTTATACCGAATTACGTAAGCCTTCTTGTTCTTATCTCTATGAATGTTTTATTATTTTTATATCATTTCTATATGAATGGTTCTAATTTTGTCTCATGACTTGTGTTTTTCCCATAAAATAAATACAGGAAGGTGATTTTGAGATGAAGCATATTGATATGGTTGGATCATCAACTTTCAATGTGGCAATTGCACCTTTCTCTCTTTCCATCATAGGAGATGAAGTTGGTGGCCTCCTTTAGCGTTTTTGTTTACAATCTTTTCATAATATGTTTATATGATCATATGCAATGTGGTCTAATAAGTCGCATATGATGCTTAATTGTATATTTATAAGATCAGTCTGAGTTTGGTCAGAAAAATTTTTCTCATATTTATTTGTTAGCTTGTTAATATGTATGATGTTATTAATATATGGAATTTTTATATTTTTTGGGGTGTAAAATGTAGAGTGAATGATGTTTAGATGCAAATGAGGATGTGACTTATTAGGCATTATATCACTCATGTTAATGTGTAAGGATTGGTTGATGCTTTGTATGCAAAAATAAGGCATTTGTATAAGAACACTATGGTCTCTCTAAATAAGATTTTTTTTTTTTTCGGTAGTAATAATACAAGTGTTTTAATAAAAAAATATTTTAAAAGATAATAAAAAATTTATTCCAAATAAAATCTTTGCCTTTTCGATAGCATAGTATAAGCGCCACGAGACTATGAAATGTAAAAAATATTCATTCTATTAAAAAAGTATAACGTAAAAAATGAAATTATTTTTTTGAAAAAAAAATTATCATAATAAAACTAAAAAATTAAGTGAAAATAGAAAAAATAAAGATTTAGTCAAGTTTCTTAACGAGTTTTATATCGAGCTTGTTCACAAACTTAAATTGTTATTGTTTATGAATATAAACAAGCTGAATTCATATCTATTCAAATTTGTTTATTTACTAGTCCAGAATTTAAAAAAGAGTTCAAACTTATTTGATTACTTAAACAATTATGAACAAGCTGCAATCGAGCTAAATATAA